AATGATGAAGGCATGTACTCGCAGTTGTGGGTAAGACAGTCTTTTTATGTGCTTTTAGCTTAGCACTTGTTAAACTCTACTATAACTGTCAGTTTTCTTCATTGAACTATAATATGTATTGACCACAGTTGATGAGAGCAATCTGCCCTGGGTACAGGCAATAGGGGTAGATAAATTTTAAATGGCAATAAAACCAACTATAAATTAATCTGCTTTTTATTATCACTATGCACTGGCAATTCAAAACAATGTGAATGTTAAACTCCTTCTCTTCTCAAAAAAATTTTTTTTTTGGTGCAAGTTCTAATTAACTTATTTCTTTTCATTAGTTTTGATTGATCAGTTTCCATTTCGTCTTCTTAAAGGTATTTTAAAAGGAACTTAATTTGTCTCTACCTTAGCACTCTATTGCTGCATCTGGAGACTGCAGAAAAAGACTGTGTGGGTATAAAAAGAATTTACTCATAAGAATATGACCTTGAATATGAAGATTATGATAAAACAGCATTACTAAAATCTTTAACATAAGAATTACATATTCATTAAAACTTTGAAATATATTCAATAATATTTTTATGACTTTTTTTCTAAAAAAGCTTCAGCTGCTAGTTATCTAACACATTTAAAGACCTGTCTTTTTCCTTGCACTGTCCCCTTTCAACATCCTTATTTTTACAAATCCAAATCCTTTTCTTTCAAGTACCATGTCACATTCCACTTCCACCAAAAAGCTGTCTTTCCCTCTAAATCCATGTAGCAATATTTGTGCTTTTATTACAGCCAACCCCACTGTCTACCCAGTATCATAGTCATTGTGTACACATCTTATGGTTGAAATTAAACCCAAAAGCTCTTAGATGTCTTTATTATTGCTGTATCTTTGATATATCTGATAAAGAACCTAGTCCATGGGAACATTCTAGAAATATACATAAATTTTAATTCATTTGTATAAAAATGTACATGATTTTAAAGATTCTTTCAACTCTGTAGTTATCTGATCTTTTTAACCCCTGTATGTAATGTTTCATAGTGACTATTTTTAGGACTATGGAATGGAGAGAGGGTGATTTGAAAATAGATTTGATGTTTTAGGAATTTACAGGAAACTTTTTCAAATTTCATCCTTTTATAAATGAATACAACTATGCTTTGGTAAAATTTATGTAATACTCTAAACTACAAATCACTGACATATTAGGTCACAATTTATGTTTACTGTATGCCAAACTAAAAAGAAACACTGTAGAAGAGAAGAAATAATTTTCTGGCCTAATCACTGCATCTCAAGCAGGAGATGTCAATATCATGTTCATCCAAATTGGAACAAACTGTGAAATATTTTTAAGATATTCATTTGAGTAATCTCTCCGTGAGGGATTAGGAATGTAAAATCAGTGAATGATATTTGGCCTGGAAACACTGTAAAATGGCCTTTAGCATGCCTAGGAGGCAGGAAGCGTATCTATCAAGGGCTGTTAATGATATTCTTGCATTGGAAAGAATGTTTGTTAATTTGCCAAAATTATCATACCCACTGTGTGCAGAAACTTTCTACTCATTATTTCTCCCATTCAAAGAAAAGTAAGATGTTAACCTATATGAAATGTCTTTCAATCTAAATTAAGAGAAAAATGTACATCATTACCCTCATATAAGACATAAATGATAGGTACATAAAGGATGTTTTTAAAGTGATCCGAGATATCTGAGAATGAAATGGTTAATAATTCTGTTCTGATAAATTAAAGAAAGCTTTGAAGAGTGGTGTCATTTGAATTAAAACATATAGTATGGGTAGGATTTCAAAAGATGGATGAAGAAGTTTGTATGTGTTTGGGTTTTAGGAGAGTCGGGGATGATAATGATTTTAGGATATAGGTAAAGTAATGGCAAATCAATAGTAATTGGTGTGCAAAGAGTTTGCTTCTAGATGTGAAAGCATTGGTCAGAACTATGGTAGATTGCAAGTGGTCACAAAATCTTTGCTGCTCTTCCGATGAAGAAGTAGAGCTATTTCCATACTCCCTTTAATTTTGAATGGCTTGCTTTGACCATCCCAAATAGAATACAGAGAATATGATATGTATGAGTCAGAACTATACTTTCAGGGCTTTGAACATACTTTTGTACATTGCCACAATGTGAATAAATCTGAGCTAGACTATAGAAGGGATGTATGGAGAACTGAGTCACTGTGATTGAAACATGCCAATTGCCAAACATTCAATAAGGACACTATAGATTGTTTAGCCCCTGCCAAATAACGAGGATTATCCAGGCGAGTAAGTCCACATGAGATCTATGGAAGAACAGTGCAGCTGATCTCAGGACAAATTGCCAACTTACAGAATTGCAGCAGATAATGGCTTTTTTTTAAAGTCATTATGCTTTTGAGTGGTTTGTTGCCCAGCAAAGGTAAACTGATATGGAGTCACTTTATTGAGAGCCTATATTATGGTCTATACAGTATTTGAATTTTATTCTATGAAAAGTGGGAAGCTTAAAAGAATTAATGCAATTGTGTCCACTTCTCACCAACCTGACACAGCAGAGTTTATCTAAATGGTTTGGTTTTTTTTTGTTTTTGTTTTTGTCTTGCTATCTCTTTTCTGGTCTTTTAACTAAAGAGAACACACTTTTGTTGGGGCTTGTTTTGTCTGCAGTTATTGATGTTTCTGGGTTACTATCTTCATTTGTTCAAGTCTGGGATGTATGAGGCAAAAATAAATCTCAGGAAACTTACCTATTTCTAGCTAGCCTTTCCTCTTACTGTATCCCCTAGCTAACCTTTCCTCTTACAATATCCCTAGCTAGCCTTTCCTCTTCTTTCAGCCTTTCTGAGTCCTACTTTTTTTTTTTTTTTTTTTTTGTATATAATGTAAAGGGATTTAATTACACTTAGTCGGAAGAATAGGAAAAGGTAGTCTACTCCATTTTTCCAGAATCAAAAATGTCACACTTGACTTCTATGTTTTTTTCTCCCATTTTATTTAGTACTAAATGTTTCCATGTAAACTAGCAATGGCAACACATAAGGTTACAAGTTCGATATCTACTGTGTACCAAACAAAATGTAAAACATGTAGGGGAGAATAAATACTCAACTAAAGTGCCTGATTCCAGTCTTTTGATTTGTTGTGATTGTCAGATTTTATCTACTGGATCTTTGGAAAGGGAGTTTTATATACGAGTTTTAGCCCAACTCACCATTAAATTTGGTGTCTCCTTTCCTTAAAGAAAGAATCCCCATTCTATCTGCCTCCCTTGATCCCTTTGTAACCCAAATAGAGGCCAGCCAGGTTTTAGCCTCTGGGGAAAATATGATGGCTTGGGAGAATCAGACCCACTGTAAGCTTCCTTCCAAATGCAATAGCTGGTCATTTGCGTTTCTTGAATTTGTTGCTGATCTTTGAGACAAATGCTTGGTGTATGATAAGTGCTCAAAAGACCATAGTGGAAGTGGGCTCCCTTCTCTCCTATGGTTCAGAACTTTTATTCTAATTTAGCAAGAAGGACTATAAGAATACACAATTATCATTGGCCTCCCTTATCTTACAGTGTAGAGATATGAGCAGATAGTTCCCAGTTACCAATTATTTCCACTGCAATTCGATTTGAATTATTTTATTGGGAAAAAACCAGAGCAGGGTGTGAGGTTTTTTTCAGGTTTATTAGTTGATTCCTCACCTTTTACAGCTGGATTTTGTGTCACAAGGGGATCCCTTGTACAAGTTACATTTCCTAGGCTGCTTAGCCAACTGGTTCCTATTTATATTGGGAAGAGGGAAGGTGCTGATATAAAATTAGGATATGGGGAAAGTGGGAAACTAGGGTAATATTCTTCCTCTGTGCTTCATGAAGCATCTTTAAAAGTGATTGTGACTCCTTAGAGGCTATAGTTCTTACCATACAGCTTGCCCACCAGTATTACAAATTCCCCATTTGATAGTGCTGGTTCCTAGACTCCAGTAAGACAAACACCTTCCTTTTTTTTCTCCAGCTCCAGTAGTGATGGTGATGTTTTCTTTCAAGCACATCATTTAAATGTTTTCTATGGTATGATGCCTCTTTATTATGCCAATTATCTCCCTTTATTATCCCCATTTTCCCTAAGATACAGATAGTATGTAGTACAGGTGGTATCTGAACTGTGGCAACCCGATTGCCAAGCTTTATCCTCTCACCAGTGTGTTGCAGCAACATCAAGCCATGTTGGGACTGTCAACCTTCCCAAAACAAAACGCAGAAATTGAGAGTAGCTGTTTGTCTAAAACCTGATTGACAATTCAAGGTAAACAATATACATTAGTTTCCTTTAATAGTCCACTCTAGGTGATATTTTACATAATGGTACAGTAAGAAATCTAACAATACATCCAAAAATGAATGTGGATTTTTTTTCAACTTTGAGTTGATAATGCTCATCTTCTTACATTGTGCTAAAAGAAATGATACCACAAATGCTGCTCAACTTCCCTTTTGACTAACCACAGAGGAGAATGAGTTCTTTAGTTTTAAAGATACTTTACCCTCTCTCAGCCTTTCCTTTAGCGAAATTTCATGATATACATTTCTTTCGGTGGAGATAGCAAGGCAAAATTATGTGGCTTATGATAAGAAAGCTTCTTTCTACATGTAAAATCAGGAAGAAATCATTTTTTATAAAGCCTGGCCTTTTTGTTTGCTATTGCCATTTTTGTGACTTGATCTGTAAGAGGTAACTTACTAGTTGTTTCTGGAGAAGCTTTCAATCTGGTTGAGAGCTAAAATAACATTTTAGCGTATTTTCAGATGAGGACTTTTTCTCTTGTGGGCTAAATGTTTATCAATCCATACTAATATTATCTGGATCTGACTATATCTGCATTTTCAATTATGTTTAAACTTGTCAATATTAAGTCTGAACAAATCATTATACAGCTTAAGGTTTTAAAAGAAAATTGAAAACAAGATAGCAGGTGAATATTTTTCAAGAAGAGTCAATAGAAATCAAGAAATTCTAATACATTTTTCTTTTTTTAATAAATACATAAAGCTCTTTATCATTTCCCTCTATTATTCTGATTAACACGATAACAGTATCTTTCAAAGCATCATTATACCAATTTTCACAGCCTGATGTAAAAGACTAATTTCACAGTAATAATCATGGCTAGCATTAATAAATGAATGTTGATGCCATAAATAAACAGCATAAGGCATATTTACACCATCTTAACATACATAAACACCATACATATACACAAAAAAGTCACAGATCCAGAACAAAGAAAATTCAATCTCCTAGACAGCTTACATTTATAGGCTTTGCCTAAAACATTTTTTTTTTTGCTGTTTTTTTTTTGTAAGTTTTTTCTTTCCAAGCAACAAACAAATCTCCCCTATTTCTTGTGATTTATTTGTAACATTGTGCTCATGCAAAAATAATACTTGTTTTATTGCATTAACATTTAGACAGTTTTAGATTTGGGTCCTATCACCATTGTCTAAAATTTTACTTTATGTTGCTTCATCCATATATCATTTTAGTTGGTATGATATGATGGTTTGTTTTTGTTGAGTTACAAAATGACAAACATGTCCAGTTGACCAGAGTTCAAAAATCAAGATTCTAAGCTTGACATGCACATTTTACTTTCATTCTTGCAAAATGGTTTGAATCAGATACTCCATTTTGATTTAACATTTATTGATTTATTTGTTTCCTTTTAATTCATGTTTCTATAAACAAAAACAACAAAAGAATAAAATAAAATACTGTCCCACATCCACTAATCACAACAAGGAAGAGCAGCAAGGATCACACTGACCATTGTTAGGACATCAGTCAGGTGGTGACACTGTAGTAAACATTGAATGTCATCAAAATACTGCAGAAACGTGATAATTACTATAGCCCATACTTCTGCAATAGTTCAGACTGCCATTGGCGTTTGCGCTCTGGAAAATAATCTGGAATGTGGATTTTTTTAAAATCCTGAATACACTTTTTCATTTCTTCTTCCACACTTAGCTTCTCACAGACTTTCTTTTTGGACAGATTTGTTTCCCGGGACTTGCTGATGAGTGTCTGAAAGAGTTCACTGTTTCTGCGTTTGTCTGGTGGAGGCATCCATTGCACAGGTGCCTTTTTAGAGGGGCGATCCAATGTTAAGGTGTTAGGTTGGTGAGCTGTTGCTTGCTGGGCACTGGATGGGTTGTCCTGGGGAGTGCTTGCCTCTGAATGGCTGTCACAACTGGAAGTGGAGAGCTCATTACAGGAAGTCCCACTTTCACTTCCTTTGTCAGTGACTTTGTCATGTTTCCTATCTTCATGTTCTTGTTTAGGTGATACTATTTTCTGAGGTGGTCCTAAAATGGAGGGAAAAAAATAAAAAGAGTAGAATAGTTGAATAAGAAGTATGAAGGTAAAATTAAACAAACTCTGTATTTTCTATTTTAGATCAAGAACATGTATCTTAACAAAAATGGTGCTTGTTCCACTAGTCTGTTTGTGGGATTAAATACAAGACCTAGGGTCTTTAGCATACATTGAAAGATGCAGCATGCTGATTAATTATTCATAAAAATAAAGTTTGAGAGATTTGTTTAATGAGAATTTCTGCCATAGAGGCCATTAATAACTTCATACTGAAAATATAATTTTTGTTATTTTAATTTCTAGTTCCTGGAATATATTAAAAAAGTAATGGCTTGTTAGCCTTCTATCTATTTTGTTAGACACTTAGTTCATTTCTGTTCTAACCACTGTACTAGGTGTCCTTTCTACATATATTCTGCCATTGTAAAAGCAAGAAAGTACTATTGTTGTATTTTACAAGGCTGCAGTATTCTCCAGTGCACGGAGCTACAGTCATATCATTTATGCTTCCAAAGGGGAGGCTGGTTTAAATCTTATTTTAGTCTCTTAATCTTGTTTCCTATTTCCTTAAAGAAAATTATGAAAATGCCATAAGATATATAGGGGCCTAATATTACAGTGTGAAAATATAGTTGAAATACGGTATTCTCTTAAAATATAAGGCCTAACATTTGAGGTAAATTACCTAGGAAGACAAGTTTCAGAAAGTGATAGTTTTCAAAGGTAATTATTTCAAATACACAAGGTGTTTCCAAGAAGAAGCGTATTTTATTCTCTTCGACTCCACTGTGGGATTAGGATCTCCATTTAACATTTATTAAACACTACCACACACCCAGAACTATTATAAAACCTTGATTAAATGGAGCCCAACAATTCAGTGATCTAAGTTACTCAAATCTTATTTTTTTCCTTAGAGTCAAATTTTTAAACGAGTTGTATTAATCAGAATCAAGAGGAAGTTATCAGTGTTTTAAAACAATTGCCTAAGGGTTCTATTGTGCAGCCAGATGTGAGAACAACTGGTCTTATTCAGAGGATCTAACCTTGGCTGCATACTGGAATCACCTAGAAAGGTTTAGATTATTGATACCTTGGAATCAAGCCCAGACCTCCTGATTTAATGGAGTGCCACCTGACCATCAGGCCATTTAATAGATCAAGGCAATTTCAAATGTGCAGCCAAGGTTATGAACCATTGATCAGTCTAATATATATGAAATTAGTTAATAACCAATAACCTTCTGACTAGTTGATATTACTCAGAAGGATTAAAAAACAAAACACTGCTGGTTTCTAACACTGACTTTTCTATTTAAAAATTAGAAGAAACATGTCAATGCCAAATATTCAGTTAAAGTTTTTTAAAGTTTTACAACATTCTGGAATGGTGGAAATATTCTTTCTCTTGATTATGGTGTTATGTTATTGTATACATTTGTAAAAACTGATAGAATTGTATACCTAAAATGGATGAGCTTTTCTGTATGTAAATTATACCTTGACCAACCTGACTCCCTCTTCTGAAAAAAAAACAACAAAGAAACTTAAAGTATACATCTCTCTCTCTCTCTCTCTCTCTCTCTCTCTACACACACACACACACACACACACACACACACACACATATATATATAAAACTTCCTTTGTCTGCAATATGGTAAAACCAGAACAAGTTCTAATGCTTATAATTGCTTAATAAGGAAGTGCACTATTATATTTCAGAAATATTTGCAACCAAAGATTTAAAAAATTGTTGGGTTTTATTTGTTTTAAGCCTCTGCCAATTCACATTTACTGTCAGGGAAATGTAAATTTGGGATGTTGTAGAGAAAATGCACTGCTAACACTCTGTGCTGGACTTACCCAGATCAATTCTCTATTCTCCTCTGTCCAGAGTGGCTGATGGGTATGAACTATGTTCTTAAGCTCCCTTGCCTTCTGACTTTCAGTCAACACCAAAGATTAGCAAGACAACAACCTAACTCCACACTAGTCCCAGGAATGTGGTGATCTGGTTATATCCCTGGACCAAGAGACACAAACCAATCAGGAAGCTTTCTCTGTCTCCCTTCGTTTTCTTCTCCTTCCCTCTTCCTCCACCCCCTCTTCAAATTTCAATAAATTGAGGCTCATAGTTTTAGGCCTACAGGTGTTAATATGTTTTGGCTGTGTCCCCACCAAATCTCATCTTGAATTGTAACTCCCACAATTCCCACGTGTCATGGGAGGGACCCAGTGGGAGGTAATTGAATCATGGGATCAGATCTTTCTCATGCTGTTCTCGCAATAGTGAATAAATCTGGGACCTGATGGTTTTAAAAAGAGGAATTCTACTGCACAAGCTCTCTCTTTGTCTGCTGCCATCCATGTAAGACATGACTTGCTCCTTCTTGCCTTCCACCATAATTGTGAGACCTCCCAAGCCATGTGGAACTTTAAGGTCTCCCCAGCCATGTGCAACTTTAAGCCTATTAAAGTTCTTTTTCTTCCCAGTCTCAGGTATGTCTTTATCAGCAGAGTGAAAATAGACTAATATAGGTATTAACTATGTAGGTACCATAACTAATCTTAGGGTACTGCCTACACTGGTGTAAACTTGTCCATATTAAGTGCTCTTAAATATCCCAGCCAAGTGTGCTTTCTCTCTCTTCCTGGGTTTCTGACAGACCCACTTTATCAGGCCCATTCTGGCCACCAACCGTCTTCTGCATTGAATAGAGGGATGTTACTTGAAGAATCAGTTTTTAGTGGCTCCAGATTTATGTGGCAATAAAATTTGAAAATAAATAGGTTTGGAGTCCTACTGACTTGAATTTAAATTCTAGCTCTCCAGAAAATACTAGTCTTGTGGCTTTGAACAAGATACTTAGCTCCTCTAAGCATTAATTTGTTCATCTATAATACCAGTAAAACTACTTTCCCCATAGGAGCATTTTAAGATTAAGTAAGATATCATGTAAAAGGATCTAGTATAATGATTCTCAACAATGGGAGCATATCAAGGTGTATCAGTGGAATTTTTGAATGTATATATGTCATGTACATCCCTAGAGGTTTCTAGTTCAGTGTGAAGGGCTGCTATGTATGTATTTATATGAAGCTGGGAATGGTGGAGGAGATGCAGTAGCTCTTTAATCACTTTATGGCTGAATGTGATCTCAAGCAAGCATGAAATTCAAGACCCTAATACAACATAGGATATAAATAAATGTAGAGTTTTTTTAAACCTGTCTGTCAATATTTTGCTATACTTTACCAAAAGCCCCTATCACAGGATTTTCATTCTCAATAATGATTAAAGGATTAAACTGCAAATATCTGAGCAAACCAACTTACATTAAGGATAAAAAAGTGATGAAAAAAATAATTTCCTGTTTATCAGCAGGGCAGTAGAGCATTAGATAGAGATACCCAAGCAGAAAAGCAATCATATCAAAGTGAAAGTGCAGAAAGAGAGTACTAGACACTACCAAAGTAAATGCCTTATTCTATTTGTTTTTATTCACTGGGAGGAATTAAAAAACGCTTAATGACAACAGAATGTAACATTTGTGTGATGAAAATGAATTGATCTTGCAGTGCAAGATAAATTAGGGAAGCCCTCTTTGAAGAAGGGATCAATGAGTTCAGCTGAGAATTTTGCATCCACTGTGTGCCAGACGCAGTGCTAGGTTCTAGAGGAGACACAAGTATGGATAAGATAAGCTCTTTGCCTGATGAAGTTCACTGGCTTTCTCTAACTCCAAGTGGGTGAGGACAAAAAGATGCAGAGAAAAAGATTTTACATGTGTGGCCAAGGATCCCTACAATTTTCTGGGAAGATGAACTAAGATGCATTCCACACCAAATCAGTCGAACTGAATTTCCTACACTAGCACTTTTTTTTTTTCACATTTTACTTTTCAACTATTTTTCAATTTTCCTTGCCACCTTTAAAAAAGTCATCTATATCCCTCTCTTTTCTTCCCTCTTGTCTTTCCAATGACAAATAATATGGGTCAGAGCATGATCAGAAATAGAGTCTATTATAGCATAGTATTTTATAAATATTAAGTGTTAAAATTCTTAAGATATTTTAGAATCTCTTTTTGTAGACTTCAATAACTGTCAATAACTATGAAGAAAAGGGGATCCTGAAATTACTGTGATTCTAAGAGCTTTGAAAATAAAAAGAACTTAAAATAGTTATATACATTATTAAAAATTAACAAATATATAGTAATACATAGTAACATATACAATGTATTCATGTTATGTTATATATATGGCATATATATATACATATATATATAAATATATATATATATTCATGTTTTGCTAATCCTATTTAATAAGATATCTTTAGGCAAGGTGGACCTCCAATCAGACCAAATAGATTCAGAGGTGTATGTAATGACTTGAAAGAGAATGCTTAGCTTTATTTTATGTACATCTTTGAATGTATAGAATAATATGACAGTTCTCTGTATAAAGCACTAGTGATCACTAATAGTGATTCTTTTTGTCTATGCTAGCAGTTTTTATTGCTATTCATTTAAGCATACTTTAAATAATTTTTGATAACTTAGTGGATTTAAATTGACTCTAAAATACAATAACTTAAACTGATTTAGCTGCTTTTTATGATATGAAATAGAGAAAAATTAATTAATTAAAGTAAATAATAATTTATTCTAGTTGCCCAGTTTCTCACAGATGCCTGCTAATTGCAGGCTTCCAGGATAATTTAAAACTTTAATTTTATATTATTTTATTCAGTGGTCCAAAGCCACCTGACATGCTTTAAGCACCACATGAATGATAACTTAAATATCTCCAACTAGTGAATATATGGGAACAGCATGACTATTATAAATGCTTCTGTGTCTCTTCAACTAGTAATAGAATCAGATATATACCTGAAAGGTCTTCCCAAAAGCATTTTGCCCTGTGAGTTAGGGCAACCATATAATAACTCATTACCATTTATTATTTATTTATTTATTTA